CATTCAACAACCCAGTCAATCCCTCCATCGCAATAGCAAATAGATATGGGGAGATCGGGTCTCCCTGTCTTACTCCTTTGACAGCCTTAAAGAACCCACACAACCCTCCATTAATATTCAGACTGAAATGAGCAGTTTTCAAGCAAGCTTGAATCCAACAGAGAAATTCAAGTGAAAAACTCATTGCATTCATCACCTTAAACAGATAATGCCAGTTCATTGAGTCAAATGCTTTCATGAGGTCTACTTTTATCGCACACCGGGATGATAACATTCTTCTATGATAACCATTCACAAGTTCTTGTGTAAGCATAATGTTATCCATAATTCTACGCCCCTTAATAAAAGCAGTCTGATTTGAACTAATCACTGATGGTAGGACTTCTCTAATTCATTTAGACAGCATTTTAGCCACTATCTTATGGACTATATTCACACAAGAAATAGGGTGAAAGTCTTTAAGGTGAATAGCATTGGTTACCTTAGGACATAGTGAAACCACCGTAAAATTTATCCCACTGATCATTTTCTTGGTCTGAAAGAACTCCAAGATAGCATTAGTTACATCTGTCCCCACAATATGCCAAGTTTTCTGGAAGAAACCTGCCGAATCCATCTGGACCTGTTGCTTTATGTATATCCATGTTGAATATTGCCTCTCGCACATCTACTTCTGAGAATTGCTTAATTAACAAATTCTGCTCTCTTTCAGATAACTGCAATGTCATCAACATCAGTTACCTCAATCCCAGAATCCAGAACAATCTTCCTTATTGCAGTTTTAGAAGTTCTTATCCTAATAGCTTGGTGGAAGAATCTTGTCCCCAGGTCACCTTTAAATAGCCAAGACTCCCGAGACTTCCTTTTATAGAAATCCTCTTCATCTTTCCTCACCACTTCAAACTGTTCTTGTAGTAATTTTTTGTCCCTGAAATGTTTCTCTGATGACTCCATTAATGCTAGTGCCTGAGCCACTAGGAGTTGCTGCTCTACTACCCGAACCTGCTCACTGATATTATCATAAACTTCCCTATTCAGCTTCCTCTGTTCTATCTTCACCACCTTTAGCTTACATTGCATAACATAAAGAAGATTACCCTTGAATTTAGTAGCCCAAGCCTGTGCAACTATCTCTAGGAACTTAGGATTGTCTGCCCAAAAATCAAAGTATTTAAACGGTTTTGGCAGACGCTTCATAATCGGCGTAGTGTTTACTAAAATCCCACCATGATCAGAAAAGGAACCAAGAATCACCTCCATAGTGCCATTAGGGAATTGCTCAATCCAATCAACATTCACAAGCCCTCTGTCAAGCCTCTTCGCTATAGGATTTGCTTCATGGTTATTAGACCAAGTAAATATGGGACCAGTAGTCCTATAGTTCACTAGCTCCATATTATTCATCCAGATTGAAAAATCTTCCATATTGGATGTGATGTATCGCTGATTGGATGTTTCCTCAGGGGTCATCGCCGTATTAAAGTCACCTCCTACAATCCAAGCTTGACCATCCACCTTATATCTACTTAACCCAGTGTATGTGTCCTGTCTCTCAACTTCCTCATTGGAAGCATAGACTGCTGTGAAAAAACAAGACTCACCAGAAGCACTCTGTACCAGATAATGAACAAAATGCGTACTAGGTTTCAGCACTCTTAGCTTGCATTCGGAGGACCAGAATAACCATATCCTTCCCAAATCAGAATCAACATAGTTTAGATACTTTTCCCAACCATCAAAGTAACCTTCAATCTTCTCCTCCTCTTTATTTGCATGAACCCTTGTCTCCAGAATTGCAACCACATCAACTATGTACTTCTGCAGGATTTTGATGAAATTCTGCCTTTTCGAGGCCTTAGCCCCTAACTTCTTACTACCTTCTCTTGGCGCTTCCTGCAGCTTCATCTATATCACTTAGCACACTAAAGGAAGAGGGAGAGACGTGCAGCACACTGGTAGGACTAGCCTGCGGAGACCATATATGCGGTCTAGCACCATGGATAACTTGTTGGAAGTCACCCTCAGATGGCAACTGTGCTGAGGCATCCTTAGCTACCTCTAAAAAGGTTTGATCCAGATTAAATCCCTGCACCCTGCGAACCATAGCTCCACTATAACTAGCCTCATGACTCCCCATAGGAGTATCACAAATCGCTGCCAATTGCGGATCTGTAATAAGATCGTTAATCACTTCCTTCCCCATCCCATTATCCAACACCTCTTCAACAGTACTTTGAGCAACATTCACTTGTATCTGCGCTTTATCAACAACATGTGGAATCTTCTTCACCCATACCTGCTTGCCAGTTACAACCTCATAGGCACAACTCTTACCAAACAACTTACAATTTCCACAATCTGGAGGCAAAAAATAGTATTCAAGACCAACCTTAATTGATCGATCTTCATTCGGCCAGTAATATGATCCGGGAAATTATCTCCAGCAGTCAACTCAACCAGCACCTTAGCCAGCCCTAATCGTCCTCCCAATCTAGTTTGATTGGTCCACTCCAAGCGGAACCCCAATCTAGCTAGCAATCCGCCCTAATCCCTCATAAGGATTATAGGTATAATACGCCCCTCTACTATGACGTTTTATCAAACATGCCCCTCTACTATTTTTTACATCAAACATGCCCCTGTAATTTGGAAAAATTATCAAACATGCCCTTCAGTTGAAATTTCCATTGAAAAAATCATAAATCATGGTTGAACGGAGATTTAGACGACCTGACATCGATAAATGGGAGGAGAAATGTCAGTTTTGACCCTTGTTTTATTTCTCTAGGTCTCGTCAAAGTGAAATTATTAGAATTATTTGGCTATACAAAAGAACAAAAAAACTCCAAAGTGAAATTATTAGGGATATTTGGGTCGCCCAAACTAAAGTTTGGTCTTGGTTAGCAGTTTTTGGATGTAAATTTTAACAAAATGGCATGTTTGATAAGTTTTCCAAAGTACAGGGGCATGCTTGATGTAAAAAATAGTAGAGGGGCATGTTTGATAAAACGTCAGAGGGGCATATTATACCTATAACCCTCCCTCATAATCGACATACTCCAGGGGAACATTGGTCATCTTAACCCAAATTGGCAAAGCTTTCTTACCTAGATCCTCCACACTAATGCCTGACATCCATGGCCTCATATAAAGCAGATTTTCAAAATAGAACCAAGGTCAACTTTCCAGAATCCATTCACATGTATCTTGTGACGGGAGCTGAATGAATAAAAGCTGATCACACAGGTATGAAACTCTCACGTGTCCATCACGACCCCATAGCTTATTCGCCCATCGACGGAACACAAACATCGGATGAGGCTTATGCAAAAACTGACCCACCAAGCAATTTTTCCATCGCGCCGCCCCTTCTTCGCGAACTGATTTAGGCATTCGGAGACCACCATTGGCGACTTCCGGTGGAAAATAGCTCAATCGATTAGCTTCTGAGATCCCAAATAGTTTTGCCCAAGGTTTCGAAGGAATCCTCAGGTCAGAGCTTCCCGATCCATTGGATACAGTCTGCAACACCTAAGGTATCGTCGACACTGAAGCACTCATTAGAAGAAGAACAGCAATAGAGGAAAACGGAGCGGCACCGGCGCAGATGCCGGCACGACCAACCAGGCCAAACCGACGGGGAACCCTAGCTGCTCGGAAATCACACTCTCTCTCTACTATTAGCTGTATTTTTCTAGTTAACAATAAACATGCCCTCAATTTTTTAAATTTAGGTCTCAAAATGTAAGATATGACAATTTTAGATACTAAATGTATTTTTCCATTAGAACTTATATGTAAGAAAATAATTTTAGGCACTAAAACTTAAAATCTATTAAATTTATATATCAAAATATAATTTGCATTTGAACCCCAAATCCATGCGAATGAGAGGGAATGAGCTATTACAAATGGCAGTTACTATAATATCATTATAATTTAGTGTTAGTTGTGTGCTATTACACAAGGGTGTTAGTACCCTCTCTGGTCCCGCTTTGTTAATAAACTAAAAGAACATGATAAACAATAATAGGATAAAGTGGACAGGAAAAAACATACAAGAAGAGAGGGAAAAGCCTTACTAATTTTTAATTGATCATAATTCAATTACTTTAATTTGAATTAATTATTTTAATGAAAATTATACTAATTATGCTACATAAGATGTCACATTTTAATATATTTTGATTGAAAAAATGTTGATTTAGGGTTTTCTTTACCACATTATATATTAATATACTACGGTGGTATAGAAGATTTTAGGAAATAGGAATATGTCAATGTAGAATATTTTACCATAGTGTTAAGAAATAGGAACATACCAATGTGATATGAAAAAGCTGGAGACCAGGTCACTAAGGAGAGGGCATTACTCATTAGGTTAAGACTATCTAAGAATGTCAATTGAACATTGCTCTATGGATCCCAACCCGACTCAACCTGGTCAAATCAAGTAAAATTTAGTGTTGACCGTATAGTACCATACCCCTAAAAGAGGCTGATAAGGGTGAACGTTGAATTGATTCAGTCAAAACTAAACTAAAATGACCATCATTAAGCAATCACTTTCAAACCAATCAACATCTACAATCGGTGTTCCGTACCAAAAATAAATTGGTTTAGTTTGTATTGTCAGGACATACCGAAAATTACCATCACAACTTGATGCAGTTGATAAATTTGACAAAAAGTGACAGTTCGTGACGCTGACAACTAGTTGATTTCACATTTTGTTGTCGTTTAGAAGTAAAATTATACAAGTTGGATTTTCATGATTTATTGCGACTTTCCAAGGTAAACAAACCCTAACATCCTCACTACTAATTTTCAAAGGCAAATGGAGTTAAAAGAGAAAAATTGTGCAAATTTGTGGAGCTCACGTATTTGATACTCTCATGGAGATAGACGAATTCAACAATCTTCTGGATTCCTAAGTCCGTGGAATTGACATCTTTTAGCTGCACCGAAAAAGGGATAAGAGTCGAAATTCCCTTTCCAGGGCTCACCAAAATGCGCACTGCTATATTTTGAATGGAAAATAATTGAGTCACTACTTACAACAGCATTGCCAACTCAAACTTCATAAGATCGAATATTTACAGAGAGGGTGGCCTTCCCGGACAATAACATCAGATCTAAAACGAGACGTTGTGATAGGACTTACCACAAGCAGAGGATCCTTCCTAGCAATGAACTTAGATTTCAGTCAGCAGCAGAACACTTAGCACCCAACACAGATATTTACAAGATAAATCACATAAGCGGAAATCAAATCATTGTGTGGAACAACACAAAGAATTGGCATACAACATTAGCTGCCTGAACAAGCATTGATATGATAACACAGTGAGCTGCATGAATCCCAACGACGGGGCTGTTCTCCTAAAGTCCTAACCCACACAACATCCTAACTCAGAGAATCTTTGAGATAATGTGGCATGAGGTCCAGAAGGCGTTAGTGGCAGCCCTCAGTATTACCGGGTTCTGGTATATCCTGTGTGGTTTATAAGGTCAGAAAAATAAGATACCACAAGTTAATGAGGGTAGTGCAGTTTTTTAATTTTAGAAGAGCATTTACCCGATGGCTGTTGCTCCCCAAGACGCTACATTGTAAATTACTTTGCTTCCATCCCAAGCCTTCCGAAGCTTTCCCTTGTTCTTTTTAACAGAGAATGTTTTGCTGAGGGCTGATGTGCAAAACCAAACAGGGCAAGTCAGCAACTCTCCAAATGGAAAAGACGGCGCTTAGAATGGGAAAGGAACTTAGGGAACTGCTGATAAAATGTTCAAACCAACCTTCCTGAAGTTGATTCGGGGTCAGGTCCTGTGAACATGAGATACAAATGAGTTAGTATCACAGACTTCCTCTGTGGAGTATAATCATATTGGATGGCACTAATATCAAACAAGAAATCAAGTGGCAGTCTCTCTAAATGTACATCACCAGACTGAAATTCCCATCTTTTGTAGAACACCAACATGGAATGATGGAAATAAATCAGATTACTTTTTAAAATTTACAGTTCATTGAAGTTGGCACATAATAGTACGCAGCCTAACAGATACTACAGAACTCTTCCTTGTTTAATTCTGTACCAATGAAAAGCCTCGCAAAGGCTCAGTGATGGACCGATGGTCCAACATCAGGCTAAGACACACAAGGTCCATGATAAACTCATTAGGAATAGACAAGCAGTAAGAGGATGATGAAAATGCTATCTAACATTAATTAGCATGCTCGTTACTGCAACAAATAAACAGCATATGCGGCAAAAAGTAGAAATGTTCCACACCTTAGTCTGTTTAAGGGAACAAAGATAAGCAGCCATGAAGCATGCAATACCGTCTACTATATCTTCTTGCCGAACAAGAACAAAGTCTTCTTGTTCTGAATGACCCATTTCACCTTCCCAAAGATCATTCTCATTGACCATGTCCCAAGAACTACATTCTTCTCCTACAACAGAATGTCTCGTATAAGGGAATTAATCTTCCAAGTAGAGAGCATGATTAGGATAACAAGAATTGGAACTAGCGTTGATACAGTTTAATACTGAAATCAGAGGCACTGCAAGTAACATCAAACAAGCATTAAAAGATGAGCTTCTGGGGATCATACCAATAATTTCATGTGGAACAGAAGCTTGGGCACACTCTAGCTTTTCAAGAAAGTCGGAGCATTCAACTCTAGACTTGAGAAGGTCACATAACTGCACCACAATAATGCTGCCCAGTTAAGAAAGCAATAATGCTGCCCAGTCGGGGCATTCAACTATCTACTTGACACGTGATGGCAAAATGCAGTAATGTTCATTGTCTATAAACTACAATGGAGAGGAATGTCAACTGCTGAATGAAAGGTGCATACTGATATCGCGAATGTTCTCGCAACAGAGCACATCATTCTTCATCATCCATCATATAACATCTTATTCAAATCAGCCAATAATATGCCCCTTATTCCCCTTTCATAGTGGCTCTAGGCTCTAGCTGAATTTGCACTAGCTTCCTTTACTGATGTGGTTCACTGGGGAGCACGTTAGTTTCTCTTCCTGGGGTTCACACGAAACTAAGGTCTCCGCAATACCCAAAAATATTAGAATCATATCTCTAATGAGGAAGATCCACAGCTCAAATCTCAACCAGACTAAATTAACTAGCAAGGTGAGGCACCGTATCAGGGATTCAGAAAACCCAAGGGATTACCAAATAGATAAGCAACAAAATGACCAGGTTCACAGCGCAGAAAAGCCTCGAAATAGCAAGCAGCAGAAGCAAGCTAATTATCAGATGCAGTGTTCAATTGCGGTTGCTAACAAACTCCGATTCAAGCAAGAGAAAAAGAATAAGAAAAAAAAAAACACATACCTCATCAGCTTCTCGATCGCTGAGAGAACCCAGCGAGCTCTGGCGACTGAATTCCTTATCCCTAAACACCTCGAGGTCAGGGACATGGTCATCATCATCATCATCAGCGGCAGCAAGAGCAGCGCCGTCGGCGTTGTTGAGCAATTCGAGGGCTCTCTGACACTGCTCAAGCACAGTTTGTAAGGTTTTCCTCTTGACACGAAGGCGATCCTTGTCCAATTTCTCCTCTCCCTTCTCCATCTCAAGGTCGCACGCCTTGGACGGTGACGGCGAAAGCGGACTTGGAGCCGAGACCTCGAATTCCATGCCTGTGAAAGAAAGGAAAATCCCCCGCCGCCGCCGACAGATCGAGCAAGCTGCCGCCCTTTCAAAAGTTTGTTTTTGTACTCCTTTACAAAGCTCTCTCTCTGTCTCTAGAATTGCAATACGGCCGGCTCCATAAATGAAGTAATGATGGATCCGAGGAATCGGGTTGGTGGACGAGAAGGAGACGGAGAGGGTAAAGGAGAAAGGAGAGTTATATTATTTTTACATTATTATAAAGGGATTTGATATGCTTGAGAACTTTTTCTGGTTTTGTTTTCTCCTCCTCTCTTCCGAAACTTGTCTTTTCAGTTCTAATTTTTCCAATTTCCAACCGAACGAAGAGGCCAAGAAATGGGCTCTGAACCGAAGTCCGTGGATTATCAAGGATAGAGTGCTTACCTTGCGCTTTTGGGCGCCATCAATCACGACGGAAATCTTTGACGGGATGGCCATCGCCCCATTCCGTATTCAGCTCTGGGGAGTTGACGAAATTTGCTGTACCAAGAGCTTTGGCCGAAAAATTGTGGCTACAGCGTTTGGCCAAGTTCTGGAGTCCGGCGTGTTTGCCTGTAACGAGACGGGAGAACGCTTTATCAAAGTGCGTACACTCATTAACTTTGCCAAACCTCTCCGCTCCCAACTTCTGGCGGTGAGTGAGGAGGCTGAGAGCTTCTGGGTGAGCCTTAAGTACGAGCTTCTCCCAGTTTTTGCTATCATTGTGGGCGCGTAGGCCACCCGCGTCGGATTTGTACGTTTGATCCGCCGCAGGGGAAAGAGCGTTTCGGCCCCCACATGACAACCAAGAAATTTGGCCGACAGCTATATGAGGAAGAGGGTGACAACTTACCGTTTCGGGCTGCTCGCAATTCAGTTTGGGTAAATCGACAGACGCGTGGACTCAGGACTGATAATAGGGCAACGGTGGCAGGGGCAGGTGTCCGTGTGCGGGAGCTGCAGCCGGCCGTGCCTGCTGAAAGAAGGGAGGAGGTGGTCGCCCAGGCTGACCAGGTACTGTCGGCCCCTTCCATGCCCCGGCCCACTTCGAAGATGGGCCTGGTGCGCTCACCCAAACGCAGGCCCAGTCCTAAAGGATTTGCTTTGCCCAGATCTCCTAAGTTGCAAATTGGGGGACACCGACGTCGGTTGAGGGAGCCCAAAAGATCAGGCGAATCCACTGTCCCACAAGGACTGAGCAAGGCCGCTCCTAAGACGTCAGCATACACACTGCGCTCCGCCGTAATTGACTCGGATGAGGATACGGTTATGGCCGATGTGATGGAGCAGACTCGTCGACGCCGAATCATTCTCGAGGCCGACCCCGATGATGATGTCCTGGACCTGATCGAGCCGAGATTGCGAGAACCGGTGGGGAGAGAGCTCCCAGCTGATGATTTGGTTGGGAAAAAAGGGGGTAGGCCTTCTCGGAAGCCCGCTCGCCCAGGACCGGTTCCGGCGGTGGAAAAGGGGGGAAGCACCCTTGCTCCGGCCCAAAAATCTCGACCTAGAGGGAGAAAGAAGCTGCGTCAGCCTCATGCTGTGCAGGGAGAAGGCGCTGCTTTGCATTGTATGGCGAGCCAGGGGAGGAGGTAATCAGGCCAGAGGATGATCAAATTGATGATTCTGTTATGGCTGCTCGAGATTGCCTACCTGGTCTTATGGAAGGAGTGCGGACGGAATCTCAATTGGGGCTGGAAATAGAAGACTCGCAGTCGGAGGATGAGCCACATAATTTTGCAATCATGAAAAGGATGCCGGCCCCTAAAGCCACCTTTCTGCGTTCCAATTCCCAATCTCGGGTGAGTAAGGTGGTGGCGGCCTTCGAAGCAGGATTGACTATTGATCAGAAAGAGGAGGACGCCTCCGTGCAGATTGTAGTCGAAGAGGATACTTCTGGTCGTGACCAATGTGAAGGGGAGGTTGCGGTTATCCCTCAAATTGATCAATATGGGTCAAATATGCAGATGGTGGACTCGGGGGGTGAGAAAACGTCCTTTGGACGCTATTGAGGGTGAGGTGGGAGACCCACCAGTACCAAAAAAGCAATTTGTGGAGAGTAATGATATTCAAGAAATGGTGGATATAGCCAGCCAGGAGTGGCCCCACCCTGATAAATGAGGCTTCTGGCCTGGAATGTGAGAGGAATTGGGCCATCCCTCACATTCCAAACTGCTGTAGGGTTAGTTCGGTCGAATAAACCGGATCTCGTGTTTTTTTCGGAAACGCGATCGAGCCGGCGTGTTGTCTCTCGTCGTATGTGGGGTTTATGTTTTGATCTTTCTAATTGTTTCTTTGTGGATGCGATTGACGCTTCCGGTGGTTTAGTAGTTGCTTGGTCCCCCAAAGTTGTTGCTTCGGTTTTTTATTATTCCAACTTTTGTATTTGTGTTCAAATTAAAGAAGGAGATTTCGTTTATGTTGTGGTGTGTGTTTACATTAGTTGTAATGCTGCCACCAGGGCTTCCCAATTGGCCCATCTTCGTGATGTCTGTGCGACCTTTCAACACCCTTACGTTGTCATTGGAGATCTTAACACTATTCTTCATGAAAGTGAGAAAGAGGGTGGAAATCCTTGGAACGCTATTCAATCTGCTAGTCTGCGTGACTTTATCCTCAATCTGGGTCTGCATGACCCTAGTTTTCAGGGCGATCAGTTCACATGGATGAATAAGAGGATGGGTGCAGCTTGCATTCGTGAACGTCTTGATAGAGCGCTGTGCTCACAATCCTGGATTGACCGTTACCCTGATACTTTGGTTAAACATTTTACTGATCAAGGGTCGGATCATCGGGCTATCCTCCTTTCTGATAAACCCTATGCCCGGAATTGTCGCCCACTCTTTCGCTTTGATGCCCGGTGGGCGGATAATCCGGAAGTTCGGGCGATGGTCCACTACGTCTGGCAGGAGGATGTCCAAGGGACTCCTATGTTTTGTTTATGGGAACGACTTAAAAAGCTCCGCCATTTATTGTATGATTGGAGTAGGGCGGGCACCACTAATTCCCTCCGGAACATAAAAACTCTTCAGAATGAAATTGAAACTATCAAGCGTTCCCAGCCTGTTGACTGGGATACAATTCGGATTCTGGAAAGGGAATTGAGTCATCAATGGGAAGCGGAGGAGCTGTATTGGCAGCAAAAATCTAGGGTCCACTGGTTAAAGAAAGGTGATAAGAATACCTCTTATTTTCATACAGTAACCCGGACGCGCCGGAAGAGGAATTTTGTGGCCGGGCATCGTAATGAGGAAGGCGATTGGATTACGGATGAGCCTGGTAAAGCCGGTATTGCGACCAGTTTTTACCAGCACATCTTTACTTCGGAAAATCAGATCCCTAACATGTCTGAGCGGGTGGCAGGCCTACCTATTGATCAAACTGTTACCCCAGAAATGAATGCTAGCCTCATGGCGCCTGTTCTCCCTGATGAAGTTCGCAAAACAGTTTTTGCCATGGGATCGAAGCAGGCTCCCGGATCTGACGGATTCACAGGGAAGTTCTTCAAATCTTTCTGGGATATTGTGGGCACCTCGGTGGTGGAAGCTGTCTGTTCTTTCTTTGAGACTAGCAGAATGCTCCGGAGTTTTAATCACACCTGGCTCACTCTGATCCCCAAAGTCGATTCGGTGGAGAATATGCGACAGTTGGGGCCAATCAGCCTGTGCCAGTTTGTGTACAAGATTATTACTAAGATCATGGCAGGGAGATTGGTGGGTTTTTTGCCGCAGATTGTCTCTGAGGGTCATAATGGGTTTATTCGAGACAGGCAGATCATTGAGAATATCTTGCTTGGGAATGAGTTAATGCACTATTTGAAAATTAAGACGCGTGGGAAGAAAGGGTTCATGGCTCTGAAGGTTGACATGGAAAAGGCTTATGATAGGGTCGAATGGCCCTTTCTCCTCGCTGTCTGGGAAAAAATGGGGTTTAACTCTACCTGGAGGGGATGGATACAAGAATGCCTCTTGTCCTCGTCTTTCTCTGTGTTAATGAATGGTACCCCGTCGGGATACTTCACCTCTTCCAGAGGCCTCCGTCAGGGATTAAGGTTATTGCTGATGATAAGCTTGGTGGGATTAAGGTTGCTCCCCGGGCCCCGCGGATCTCACATTTACTTTTTGCTGATGATTCGTACTTGTTCCTGCGTGGGTCTCTCCGGGAGTGCGAGAATTTAATCGAGGTCTTGAATGAATATGAAGAGCTCAGTGGTCAGAGAGTGAACTTGGATATATCGGCAGTGTGCTTTAGTAGAAATATTGTTTTGCCTGACCAAGAATTCCTGGTTGCGGTTCTGGGAGTAGGGGTGGTAGGGGTTCATGATAAATATCTGGGCTTGCCTACGCTTATTGCGCGATCTAAGATGGAGACCTTTCGATACTTAGAAGAGAAATTGCTTGATCGTCTCCAAGGATGGAAACGAAGGACGCTTTCCTGGGCAACTAAGGAAACCCTTATTAAGTCCATTGCCTTGGCATTACCTTTGCATGTGATGTCCTGTTTCAGGCTGCCTCAATCACTGTGCCGTTTGCTGGATAAACATGTGGCACGGTTCTGGTGGGGAGTTGAGGAGGATCAGTCGCGAATTCGGTGGATGTCTTGGAGGAATATGTGCAGGAGTAAGCATGAGGGAGGAATGAGATTTCGCCGTTTTGAACATTTCAATCAAGCGCTGTTGGCGAAAATTGGTTGGCGCCTCCTTCAGGAGCCCCAGTCCCTCCTGGCTCAAGTTTATAAAGGGAAGTACTTTCCCAATGGGTCTTTTCTTTTGGCCACGCCACGATCCCGTCCATCCTGGGGGTGGCAGAGCATTCTGTATGGTCGGCAGTTATTGGAGGCTGGGCTGCGTTGGCAAATTGGTGATGGGCGATCCGCTCCACTTCTGAATTCGAGATGGATTCCTCAGTTCCAGCTGGATCTTCCTCGGTATAACCCCCAGGTCATACCTGTTGGAGGGGATCCGGTGGTGGCAGAGGTGATCAGTCCGGAAGGGGGCCGGTGGTGTGACCAGAAGTTGGGTCAGTGGTTTGACCCTCCTACTTGTGAGGCCATTAAAGCCATCCCCCTTCCGCAGGTACCGATCGAGGATAAGCTAATTTGGCATAATACTCCGGACGGTATATTCACAGTCAAGTCGGCCTATCATTTGGCGGTCACTCTTGATAGAAGGAAGGGCCGGTGGAGGACGGAGGTTAGCTGGATGGATAAGGGGAGTTGGATCAGGTTGTGGGAGGCTAATTTGCCGCCTAAGTT